TTAATTCAACTCATAACATTATTAAAATTATAACATCAATGCGGTATCCCAACAAAAGAAAATATGATATCAAAGTTTACAATTTTACGCTCTATTTCTCTCTTTTCTTTTTATTCTTGATGATATCTTATTATCTCTCTTTTGCGACATAATTTTTATCTAATGTTAGAAAATATATTTTAAGTCTTTTTTAAGTGTACGTAGAATTCTAGTTATATATTCGTAATTTATACAATCATCTATTATATTGTCGAGTCAACTATACTACAACATAAAATTTTTGTTCATAAAAAGATTTTGAAAAATGTATTATTTTTTTATGATTTTATGTCGAATTGAGAAAAACTATGCTTTTTTTTTTTAATATTATTGAACTTATTGTGATTGTATTGATGTGCTAAAAAAAGTAATACATATGAGAAAGTTGACAAATTAAGAAAAGTATACTTTATAAATTGTAATGACATTATGTTGTTTTGATGCAATACTTTTTGTATTAATTAGATAGTGCTCTTAACATGAAATTATTTTGGATTCGCCACTGCAGCTAGTTTTTCAATGGAACTTTCATTGTTTTTCCCAATTTCAGTGACAATTTTTTTAATGGTTGAAATATGGCCGAAAAAAAAAATCCAACATAAATTCACACAAAAATAAATATTAGTAATTGAGATATTAAATCCACAAAAATTTCAATGTAATTTAATTTACTCACCATTGGAATAGCCAGTGAATCTTTTCAATAGAAACTATACCAATGAAATATTTGTTGGTATTTTCTGTGGAATACCTTACTGTTGGATTTTTCATTATAATATGGAATTTTTGTATTCTTTCATAATCATTAAAATGTTTATGTAGTAATTTTTTTATTTATTAATTGTGTTTATAATTTTTCTTTTAAAATATATTAAAACATCTACTTTTTAGTCCATATAATTTTCTTACAAGTCACTCGTTATTTTATGTTGAGATTACCTATTAATTTCTCAATTGAATTACTTTCCCTACATATTAATGGAAATAAGTATTATTTTTATATGCAATATAATATTTATATATTATATTAAAAAAGCTAATAACAAATAAAAAATTATTTAAATTTACAATAATCAATTTATTTTTAAAAAAATTAAAATCTCTAACCTACATAGATTAAAGTACAAATAACTATTGTCAATAACCTAAAACTTACACCTATAATTAATAAGCACAAAAAAAGTAACAATCGTGCTCGTTTACATCGATATGTACAAGTTTTAAAAGTTTTATATTTATATTTATTAATCATAACATTTTTAGTTATTACTTCTTTCATATATATTAGTAAGTATTACAACTTAATTATATTTTTAATATTATGTATCAGATTTTATTTTTTTTACTTTATATTGTTCTTTCATATATATATATATAACTTTTAAATTTGTTAAAAAAAATGCATAATACTAAGTATATAACTTTTTTTGGTCATATGTCTTATTATATCTATTATAGTTGTACATCTTTATATTATATTATGTATAATTACAATTTTCTAATTAATATTATTATCAAATATTAAAAAAAAGATATTTTGTACATTTTTTAATAAAGTTGATTTACTGTAATAATACATATTAATAGATAGGTGAGTAATGGTGCTATATCGATATAAATTCTTGGTAAAAATAATTAATTTTCAACGTATATAGGCATATCATGATTCACTATATATTTTTAATTAATTTGAGGATAATGATGGTTAAAAGTACAAATAACTATTGTCTATCACCTAAAACTTACATTTAGAATTAATAAGAACAAAAAATTAACAAGCGTTTAATAACACCTGAATTGCGTTAAGAAATTGAATCCACCAAAAAGCCAATATTAGCTCTCTTAATTCCTCTAATAGTGACTCAACTCGTTTACATCGATAAGTACAAGTATTAAAAGTTTTATCCTTATTTTTAAAGAATACATAAAATTAAATAGGGAACCTTTTGGGTCATATGTCTTATTATATATCAATTAATTGTACATCGTTCTATTTTATTATATATAATTATAATTTTCTCATTCATTACATGAAAATAAATAGACTGGGTTTTAGTATTATACATTTTCATAAAATTATTCTAACCTTATTTGAAGCAAAGAAATTGGGTTGATTAGAAGTTTCAATTGCAAAACAATCATTCAACAATTAATCTCTCATACTATTACAAAAATTATTACTTGTTATAGTATTTTGAAAGAAAAAAACTGTTTCTTTACTTTATGGATGTTATGAGGACAACATTATGGATTTCAATTTTATTATTTATAGTTATTAATAATAGAGGAGTAATGGTGATATATGATATAATTATTGGTAAAAACAAATAATTTTCTGCGTATAGGCATATCACGAATCTTTAGATATCTTAATTAATTCGTAGAAAATTGTATGATCAAAATAAAATCATGCTGCTCAACTAATATCTCATTCGACATGAAAAAAAATTAGACCGGGTTTTAGTATTATATAATTTTATAAAATTATTCTAAAATTATTTTACATAAAGAAATTAAGTAGATTAGAAGTTTAGGTTGCAAAATAATTATTCAAAAAATTATATCTCATATTATAACATAATTTATTCTTTTTTTATATGTTATTTTGAAAAAAAATATTTATATAGTTTGTGGTCGTTATGAGGACTAACAACATCGATTTTAAATATTGTACTTATAGTTATTAATAAACTTGTAAAATTAAATAAATATTGTTGAAACAGTTATCTTATTTGATAGGATACTTACGGTTAATAAAACTCTTAAATTTTATTGAGAAAATCATAAAAGTATTTAAGAATCTTAAATAATATCAATAAATAAAATATTTTATTTATAAAATTTTGAATTATAATCGTTTATAGAGCGCTCAACTTGAAAATTAATTGCTCAAATAAAATAATAATAATAATAATAGTTAAAATGTCATGAACATTTTTATTAATAATTGAATGAAAAATTTCAAATAAATTAAGTCTTAATAATTAAAAAATTACGCAACTTGATATTAATCACTTAATGGTCACGTGAAGATTCGTTAACTCTATTAGCTTTGCGACCAAAATTTGAAAATACAAATCACTAAACAATGACGATTTTTGTGGGATCAAAATTCAATCCAATAAAACTAAGGTGCAATCTAATTATAGTTCTAAATACAAGAGTTTATTTTTCTTAAATAATGATCTAGTTAAATGAATTCTTCCATTTTTCTAGTTTATTAGATTATGTATATATTCCACGTGTGCATGATTTCGGTAATATTTTAGGTATCTTCTCTTAATTAAAGTTATGTATGTATCTTGGAAATTATTTATTATATAAAATTCACCTCTCAACTAAGTTATCATGTTTACCAAGATTTACCGTTTTGTTAAAAGATAGGTAAACAAATAGTTGAGAATATTTAGATTTTTTATAAGTATTTATTATGTTGTTTTTGTTGCATAATTTTTTGTTTAAATAAATTTATATATTAAAATCATTAAATATGATTACGATTTTATCATCAAAATTATATTAAAAATAAGGACGTTATTCAAAACAAAAATTCAATATCATTTCAAAACTTTGTTGTTTGGGTTAATGTTGAGTTGATTTTTTAGAGATATTGAAGAAAACGGTTTGGGAGATATGTGGAAGAAACCAAATTCTTGAAGAATAATGGTGTGAATATTGTGGTTGATTTTTAAGAGATGTGGAATGTTTTGTTCATGTAATTGTATTAAATGAGAATTAGTGTATTACTAATTTGAGATTAAAAATATGTCAAATAAAGGAGATTAGGTAAATGTTAGTTATTAATAAAAAAAATATAAGATTGGATATATATTATGTTATTACTAATTTGCCATTAAAAATATACCAAAGTAAGGGTATAATAGTTAGTTCTTTCTTTTATAAAAACACTCGTCCTTTTATAGTAGTATTTGAGTTACCATTTTAGTTAGCACAATATTTAGACATACAATATAATAAAACATTTGAACTAAATATTACATAAGATTATTTTGTAGATATTGTTTACAAGAACCAATTTGTTTTGGTGGACTTCTGTGGAAGAGTTATTTTTTTTCCAACAGCTACTTAGCTAAGGGAATCATAACAATTTCTTCAAAGACCACCTCAATCTCCATCATTTTTAGTAAACTTTAGAATTATTTGAGTCATACTTTGAGCGTGTATCGTAATAGTTTTCAATGTTACGCTGTTATTTATTTAATTAAATATTAGTGATTAACTAAAAAATATAAGATTTGAAGAGTATCAGTGTATTACTAATTTGCCATTAAAATTAAGTCAAAGTAAGAGTTTTTTAGGTAGTTCATTTGTTAATTAAAAATATAAAATAAGATGGGTATTATATTATTACTAATTTGCCATTAAAAATATGTCAAAGTAAGGGTTTTTTAGGCAGATCATTATTTTTACAAAATCACTCGTCCTTTTATAATAGTATAGATTAGAAGGTTATCCGACTGTCGGGATAAGTGTATGAAAAGTGTGAAAATTAACGACCCAACCATCTATTATTTATGAGAAAAAATTGATGTACCAAATTCGAACACTATAGTCAAGTTAGAAAGTCAAATTAGAAGGTCATCAAAATTGCAATTTTGCCAAAAAAGTAGTGTAGCTTGTTGCTCCAAGAACAGAAATGGGGTTCTAGCTGCAGTTCAAATTAACACAAATATAAAATTAAAAATTTGAACAATAATTCATGAGTCGCATAAGCAAAACATACAATGAGTACATAATAATATTCAACTTATATTAATAAATCACCTAAAATATGAAGAGCTCTAAATTAAGAGTCCATTTCCAATTCAGGGAATAGCTTCATTTCCCCACCTTCTTCTCCACCAATATTTCACAAGATNAAAGGAGAATAGAACCAGCTAATTAACTATCCATTCAATTCACGAACCACAAATTATTAAATACTTAGCCAATTAAGAAACCTAAATATATCCGAGCCGAAGCTCTAAATCCAAATCCTCCTTACTAGATTGGCTAATCACACCAATCTCCAAGTCCAACCTAACAAATTTCTCACCTTTCTGACCTTCATCAACTCTCGTAATTCCGGACACAACATTCGCCGTTAAAGGACAAATTGGGGGCATTGCGGAAGTAAATTGAGGAAATCTCGTCAAAAGTGATGGCAAATTAGGCTGGGTACTAAAACTAGGGTTTGAGTTTAAGCTAGGGTTATAAGGACGATCAAGATTTAGGTTAACCACAGAAAATTGAGCACTCGAGACACAACTTTTGTAACCCGGGCCAATAATAACATTATTACCGTTACTTTTATTATCTTCTAACAATGTGATTGGGGATAACCGCAGCCTTGCCCTATCCCTTCTGTGGACGTTCATGTGGCCACCGAGTGCCTGAGCAGATCTAAACTCCCTTTTGCAAAAGCTGCACGTGTAGCTTCTTGGTGGCCACGAAAACCCGGCAGCCACGACTTCATTTTCCTTCCAATTTCCGAGACTTTTGTGCTCGTCCAAGTAATTATTGCACGAGGAGCCCTTGAATTGCCTCAATTTTCTTCCCTCCATTTTGTCTCTTGATATCTCACTGTGAGTGTAGAGAGAGTGAGAAGTGTGTATATTATAGAGGTTCCTAGTCTTGGACTAGTATGGTGACATGGTCGGTGCATTACAGTACTGAAATTTGAAGTGGGCCTGTTTGATATATAATATGTGTGTAGTTTGAAAAGTACTATCAGCTTACTTTAAATTATTGAATAATAGTTTCCAAAGTTAAATGTCGTTACAATTTTGTCCTGAAACGGGCAAAAGTAAATTGTTTTGCCACAATTTAAAACAATGGGGCCAATGTGGGTCTTCAAGTATCATGACTCAAACAATTGTGAATACTCTCAACGCTACCATTATTTATTTTGCATAGACAAGAGTATTTAATATGGCTCATAACTTTTGNAAATATGGCTCATAGTTTTGAATATATGGAAAATTTGCTGGAAATTTTTTTTTAAATAATATAGAAAATATCCACTGGGGAATTAAATCTGACCACAATATGCGGATAAATAAAAAAGCGACATACTAATTGATTCTGTAAGTTCACTAAGGAAATTGAGCAGCATATTTGTAATTTAATTTAATGTAATCGTGAATGTTACCAAACAAATTGCTACCTATCGATCATAAACCAGCAGTGAGCATATTTTAGAACATATGTTGGTTCATGGATTTAGTAATTTCGCAAAATTTAAAAAATGGTCCACTGTGTTGGCCATTTTTCAAAAAATGTCCATCATATAGGGCGTCATAACAAATAGTCTATTAAGTTGCCACTTTAATCAAAATTCGTACCAAAACCAATATAGTGTATTAAAAGTGATTGTCATTTTCTGTACACTATGTTGGTTATTGTACGAATTTTTATGAAAAGTAACGATTTAGTAGATGATTCTTAATAACACCCTATATAATGAACTTTTTTAAAAAAATAATCAACATAGTGCACTAAAAATAAAATTTTTAGCCTTGGTAGTTTAGTTCATGGACCCCCACAAAATTCAGTAGAAAACACTAAATAATAACAATAATGAAACATAAAATAAGAAATCATAATGGTCCTTGTACGTGTGGTGCGTTTGTGTGAGAGAAAAAAAGTGTAAAGATGCCTAAGCCAGAAGGTCGAGGATCCTATTGGATAGAATTAAGCAGTGCATGTTCCCTATGTTTGGCCAGGACTTACTAATTATGGAAGCTTTGTCCTCCCAAGCCATTGCTATTATAGGAAACACATCCACTGGATGTTCTTTATTCCCTTGACATTTTCGCGTCAATCTTTATGTCACCACATTTATATTGCATCAGAAAACAGAAAAGTCTAATAACTGCATTTTGGTGAATGTATCATGTCTTAGATCACGAAATAGTCGAGTATGATTAGGTGTGGGCCCACCTCTGTGAGATTGAATTGTCCAATTGCTAAAATGATCTTAATGATTGAACCCTTTTTTTTGCTTTCTACGCATATTCACAGCTAGCATTTCAGAACCGGTTTGCCTGTTAGGAAATATGTTTATTGTAGTGTCAGTCTTATGAAAATGGTACAAGAATATCGTGATCATAGATTGTAATAATTATGGGTTTAATGGGCTAATATGCAACCATTTCTTGTTGATCAATAAAAAGCCTTTCATGCTGCGTTTTCTAAGGTTTTATTTACGATAAAATTGCTTGGTACACCACACAATATCCTTTTTATTATACTATTAAAGTGCCCGTGCAATGCACGTGATACATGATTTATATTTTAAAGTGATTTTAAATTATACTTTCAGGTTTTATATTTTTATGGTTTATTCATTTTTTTGCATTATTATTTTCTATTAATCAAACACAAGAAGTACATTACATAATTAACAGTCTCAAATATATTAAAAGTTGAAAAACAATTTTCCAAAGAATAATGTTTAAAAGCAGTGGCGGACCCAGATTTTTTTATCAGCCAGGGCAATATGAAATANTGCCTAAAAAAGAAAAAAAAAAAAAATCAATTCACACTTTCACAGTTCTTGCATAAACCGTACTCCAATTCGCCCTACGCACAACAAATTACCGAAAAAAAGAGAAAAACAAACGTAATGTAATAATTAAATAGATGTGAGTGTTTGTTGTATAAAAGATACTCACCTTCTTCTTCTTCAGTATACAATTCACATTACAGTTTTCTCTCTCTTACTTACCATTCATCAAATATGGCCCCGACAATAAATCCGACGTATACACACTGGATGCGTACCGATCAACTTCTTCTTAACTGGATGTTGGCTTCCATTACAGAATCAATGCTTGGTCATCTTACACGATGCTCATCCTCTGCTCAGGTTTGGTCGGTCTTATCTCAGCTTTTCCATTCTCAGTCCAAAGCCAAAATTCTGCATCTGAAATTTCAGCTTCAAACCCTAAACAAGGGTAATCTCTCAATTGATGATTATGTGCTGAAAATATGTACTATGGTTGATGAGCTACACTCTGTTGATCACCATATCACTGATGATGATTTGATCATGTATATTCTTAGTGGTTTAGGATCTGATTATGAGGCTGTTATTGTGAATTATGCGGTAAGGCTAATTATGTGGCTCTTAAATGCTATAAACGGTTTGATATAAGCTTCACATGTCAGGACAGTGTCTCTTATTCTCCTCAAGCTCATTTGGGAGATTTCGGTTCATCTACTTCTGGTTTGGATACTTCGGGCATCTCTGATCCAACTGGTACTTTCACAGTGGTGTTACAAATCATCTCACGCCCAATCTTGAGGACTTATCTCTTCATTCTGCACCATATCAAAGGTAAGGACAAGGTTACTGTTGGCAATGGCTCTAAAATTCCTATATCTCATATTGGATCTTCTACTCTTTCCACACCTCACTCTTTTCCTGTTCTTCTTAACAACATCCTTCTTGTACTTCACATCACTAAAAATCTTCTTAGCATTTCACAGCTCACTAAAGACAATGACATTGTTATTGAGTTTCATGCTGATTTTTTTCTTGTGAAGGACAAGACAACTCATCAAATGCTGTTGGAAGAAGTGCTTAGAGATGGTCTATATCAGCTGGATCTCTCTCAGCATGCAACACTTTTCCCTCAGAAGTTGCCTATTCAGTCTTCAAATTTCTTTTCTTCTTGTAATTTTACCTCTTCTTTGGGAAATCATGTACTAAGCAATGATGTACTGCTTCAATGGCATAAGAAACTTGGCCATCCTTGTTCAAATGTTTTCAGAACTGTGAAGAATAGCTTGAAGTTTTTTGTACCATCTAGTTTACCCTTATATGATCCTTGCAAACTTGGCAAACTTCATCAAAAATAGTTTAATTCTCAACCTACTAAAACTTCTATGCCCTTGAACTTGTGCATACTGATGTGTGGGGACCTTCTCATGTTCTCTCTGTTGATGTTTACAAGCATTATGTGCACTTTATGCTGGAAAACAGTTTCTTTCTCGACCACTCAGGTTGGTTTGCCGAACTATTATGGGCGCTATATCAACTTACAACTGCAATAAAAATGAAAGCTCTATGCTGGAAAATATTAAATTTGGAGAGATTAACAAAATTAAAACTGCAATTACATTGTTGTTTTAATTATATACATATATATATATATATATATATATATTTTAATAAACGAGTTAATGAAAAATTAAACTAATGTTTGGATCGACAACTGACTCTAAATGTATTTCTTTTTATATTTGATATACAATAGATTTTTTTATCTCTTTTCCTTTCGAAGGAGCTTTCAGACTGTATTGATAGAACTTTTTCAATTAATGTTCATAACAAGTTTTTTTTCTTCAAATGATATGAATCTCATTAAAAGACAAAACAACGTTTGAAATAGGAATACACATCGTTTGTGAACTAGAGACCATCCGAATTGGCCTAAAACTTGACCCAAACTAAGGCAGCAACATGCTGCCAGGAAACAGAACCAACTAGCCATAACTGTAAAGAGGAAATACAACGAACCAAACTTGAAAACTGCAAAAAACAAATACTGAAGGAATACAACAACTAAGCCTAAAAATAATCAAACCTAAAAGCTTGAGGACCTCCTCTGGGTATTTTCAAGCCCGAATTCCTGACACTCTAGTACAACGTTGTTGACAATCACCCAGCGGCGGATGCAGGATTATTTTTCAGCCAGGGCAAATGTAATAGGAAATATTGATCACTTACATGAGATATGAGATTATTTGTTGAGTTCATGAAAGTTTTTCAAATACTTTAAAGAAAAAAAAAATAGCAAAAATTAACTGAATTTTCAATATAACTTAAAATTAAAATTAATCATTGCTACAATTTAATTTTATAAAATTTACTATTCTTTTTTTTTTTTCAAAACGATAGATTATATTATAAATCAAAATGCACAAATGTGCGAATACAGCTGAATGGAGCAGCCAACAGCTGAAAAAGTGGGAGGACAGGTCAGAATACCGCCTAGAAGCCCTGCTAGCAAAACTAGAAGAAAAACACTCGCAACTACTCTAACCAACTACAACAATAACAACGGAAACTACTAAACAAAAGATCCCACCAGGATAATACCCGAATGTCTGATNATTGTGCAATTGAATTAATTTGATACATATCCAATTACATGTTGCATATCTCACTTGAATTACTTAAAAGATTTTGAGAAGGGAAATTATGAGTGAGATGAGATTCTTCTTTTAATTTTATTTTCAGCATCAATTGAGATTGGAATTCGAGGTTTCATTAAACAACTTTTGTGCGCACGGATTTGCATCTCGATTTATGCGTGTCATCCTTGCGCAGGGGCCATGCTAATATTATCTGTATTGTTCCAATTTTATCAGATGTCTCCGAAGAGACGCGCACGGATTTGCAGCTATCTCTTAAGTTCTTCATTGTATAGAAAAATGTTTGGTTATGACATCAATTAATTAAAAGTCCGAATTTGATAAACCCAAACTACGAAAATTCTATAGAGCCATCGGATAGTTTTTCTTATGAAGTCATTCATCACTTATTGTATTGACA